GTCTACTTACTTCCTGGTTAACGATGTGTGATTAAGTATGCACAAATACATGAATAAAAGAGACCGAGTCCATTTCTGTTGGTTGTGTGTATATGGTTTCAGGTCAGAAAACATTGAACTGGATAAGCTCATCCCTGTCTGAGGTTAACTCTCCCACCTGCAGGAGGAGAATTCCACTCTTTAATAAGCAATAAGAACCTGACCTTCGGCCGGGCATTGGTGGCGCATGCCTTTAATCCCAGCACTCTGTGAGTTCGAGGCCAGCCTGGTCTCCAGAGCGAGTGCCAGGATAGGCTCCAAAGCTACACAGAGAAACCCTGTCTCGAAAAAACAAAACAAAACAAAACAAACAAAAAGAACCTGACCTTCATTCGACCCAGGCTGCCTTGGCCAGGAAACATTATCAAGAATAGAAAACCTGGGGTGTAAATACCTCAGCTAACACTTGCTGAAGTTCTGGAGTTGCAGACGATGGACACTTCTGAGCCAATCACAGTCTCCCTTGATTCCGTGGGCTTCCCACCATACCTCATTGATGATTTTCAACTCTGATGATTTAGAAATCCTGAAATTCCTGCCTCCACTTTCTAAGTACCATGATTACAGGGCTGTGCCACCATGCCTGTATTGGGTGGCTTCAGTTTCATTTAGTGAGGCATTAGAATGACAGGATAAATAAGATGAGCAGTTATACTTATCTATATTAAAAAACTCTTACCTTTGTGAGCCTGGGCTTCACCATCCATAGGATAAGGGCAGAATCTTCCTTAGTCATTTGGTGAGTTATAACAGACTCAATGATAAAGAAAACAATAATGCTCATAGTTGGAAGACAGGAAGGCTGGATTTGATGGGAGCCTTGTTTTCTTACTAGAGTTAGGACCAAAGCTTGTGTCCTGGCTACTCTAACCAGCCAGGCTCAGCCACTCATCCTCAGTAAGCCAATTAAAAGAACCAAGTTATCCAGTTTTGGTGTGCCCACCCACAATTCAGGCACTCTGGAGAAAGATGGTCAGGTTTCTCTGATGTCCTTGGACAACCTAGTCTATAGAGTGATTACCAGGACAGTCATAGAGTCATAGTGAGACTCTTTGTTAGAAAAAAAGACATGAGTAGAAAATAAAGCAAATTATTAATGAAAATCAAAAACATGATATTTATTCAGTTTGACTAATTTGGGACAGTGATGAAACTATAAGGTAACTAATCCATCCTTTGTGTCCTAACAGTTTTATATAGAAAACAAAAGATATGAAAAACTAAGTCATCTAATGAAGCCACACAGTGAATTTTCCCATCTCTAAAACTCTCCCCCATTCTCAGGCCCTGTCTCTCCTGCAAGGTGGGAAGAAAGGAGTAAATGTTGCTTCAGTAGAGACATCCTCATTCTGATGACTCAGTCTTTTCCCAAAAAGAGATTCCTGGGGAATTAGAATTCCAGGGGGTCCACCCTTTCACTAGTTGTTAGCAAAAGGAAGAGATGTAGATGACTACTTAGAATATCCTTTTTCCTATAAGACAGGCAGGCTACAGGGATGTCAGGGTGGGGAAAGAGGAGCTTTAAGGTTCAAGTAGGGACCACAAAGGGGGGTTGCACAATATTGCCACTGACAGTTATATATAGTTGCCAAAAACAGGAAAGAGTGGAAGACCTGGAGGGGGCTGACTCACCACAGCTGAGTGGACACATTTTGTGGAAATTTGGGCTCAGAAAATTCTTTAAGCACCAGGTCTAAGTTTCTGATGCTATGAATCTTGTATTTCTTCTGGGTCATCAGGGCTGAGATAAAGATGAACTCAGGATAATCCATTCACACCTTACTGCTATAATGACAGGCTTATGTGGCTGAATAGACGGCTTAACTCCCAAGAGCACTGGCTGCTCATCCACAGGGCCTGACTTTGCTTCCCAGCACCTATAAGACAGCTCACAACTGTATCTAACTATAGTCATGGAGGATCAAAAGCCCTCTTCAGGCCTCCACTTGTACCTGACATGCACTGGGTCTACACACTGGCAAAACTTATACACCTAATTTAAACTTTATTCTTTTATACAATAACATATATATGAAGAAAACTTTTTTAAAATAGGGAATCACAACAGGCAATGGTGGTATGTGCCTTTAATCCCACCACTCATGAGGTAGAGGCAGGCAGATCTATGTGAGTTCAAGGCCAGGCTGGTCTACAGAGTGAGTTCCAGGACTGGCTCCATAGCTACCGAGAAACCCTGTCTTGAGAAACCAAAAAACAAATGGAATTACGTATTTGTCTTTTCACAATTTGTATATCTGGTGCCCTAGGAGGCCAGAATGGATCGGATCTCCTGGACCTGCAAATGCAGGTCCTTCTGAACCATCTGAACTGGGTGTTATGAACTAAACTTGGGTACCCAAGAGGAGTAGTGCTATTAAGCAAACTCACCAGCTCCCACATGTCATTATAATGCAAAAGATGAAAATGTTCCATTATTCTGTCTCCTGTCACTTGAAGATGGGGGGAAGTCCCAGATAGATGGCCTCCAAAGGATTCAGTGAATTTCTATCTCCACACGGCTTTTCATTTTCATTGTTAATTTAACACAATTCTCTTAATGTGAGTAAAGATACCAAAAGATTTTGTTGAAACAAGTCAGAGTCCAGTCAGATTTTACTAGGAAATCTTGCATAATTTGAGGTATTCTTTTTCTTTTGGGGATTTTTTTTGAGATGGGATATCTCTACATCGCCTTGGCTTTCCTGGAACCCCCTATGTGGACCAAGTTGACCTCAAACTCAAAGGGATCAGTCTGTTACTCTCTCCCAAGAGCTGGGATTATAGGCATGCATATATAAGCCCAGCTGAGATGTTTTAAAATTGACATATCTGTAAATCAGAGAACTGAATGAGAAAATAAATTTTTTAAAAGCAGCCATCAATGTTTTGATGAACAGCAACACTTCTTAAAATTCTGTAACTAGCAGATCATTTCATATGTTCTCAATAATTGGTCTATTTTCCTTTGTTAATTTACTACATTCAAAAATGTTTGAACTATGTATGTACATACCTGTGCCATGACATGTATGTAGCAGTAAGATGACAGCTTACAGGTGTCTATAATCTACTGAGTTCTAAAGATGAAACCCAGGGAGTTAGGTTTGGCTGTAAGTGAGCTCAATATCATTTATTTGAGTTTAAAAATCATTTATGTATGTGCTAGTGTGGGAGTGAGCATATGCAACAGCCCAAGTGCAGAAACAAGAGATTTTGTAGGAGTAATGCAGGTCTCCTGGAGGTTGGACTCAGGTCATCAGGCTTTGCAGCAACCAACTTTATCCACTGAGATAATTCTCTGGAATTCATTTGTGGGTCTGAGCAAGTATGTAGTGCTCCAAACAAACTAACATATTCCAAAAAAAGAAAATGAAAGATATAGCAGTATATCATTGTCACTAGCAAATAGGATTTATTACTCAAATTGTCCTGTTTTCCCCATCCTTGAATGAAAATATGTTTACAATCTGAAAAGATAATATTTTACTGATGTAATGTTACAACTCATCTTGTCGGAGCATCAGTGAGACAGCTCAGTGGGAAATGTTGGTGGTATGCAAGGATGGTAACCTCATCTTGATCACTATATGAAAGTGACCGGAGTATTCCCCAGAAAGTTTTCTTTCTGTCTCTACATATCTATCATGGTCTAAAAATCTATGGTCACATTACACACACACACAACAGAAATATTTTTAACTTTACTCTTATTTATTCTTTGTAAAACATGCATCTTGATCCCATTCATCTACCCATCCCTTTGTATCCACCCTCTGCCCTTGCAACCTGCCCCACAAAATAATATTCATGAGAAAAGAGGGGGGGAATAAAACAAGGAAAGATCCCATCATGGAAGCTGCAGTGTGACATGGTCAGTCACACAATTTACCCTTTTATCCATGCATCTTTACTTGCAAGTGTTCACTCCAAAGAGACATTTGCCTGGTTTGAGTCCTCTGGTTTCTGCTACACTAGTGATACTAGGCCCTCACTGAGATTCCTCTTGGACATTCTGTTGTTGCCCTGTGTCATGGAGATCCTGCAGCTTTGGGTCTAAAGAACTGGCCCCTTCACATGCTCCAGAAGATCATAAACAGGGCGGATTTGGGGGTGTGCCAATTCATAACCCTAGTTCTGGGTGTGAGTAGTTTCAACTTTAGTCAGTCTACCAGCTCTCCCCATCCTCCTGACCATGGGGAACTCTCTGTCATTGTCTTGATAGTTCACTCTTTGCAGCGATAGACAAGGGGTGGGCCAGTGCATCTGCTTTCAAACCCTCAGGGTCAGCTCTACAACTGCTACACCAGCAGGGCAACCTTCACTGTGTTGACCAGGCAAGGTACAGGGGCTACTCTTCCAAGTGCCGCAGCTGGTGAGGGGCAGGCACAGCTCTCCCACTCTCATGACCTCAGAGCCACCCACCACAGGCGGCAAGGGACAGGGGAATAGGCATCTCTCCCCTGCCCACACCACCATATTGCAGATGAGAGATGGGGCTACATCTCCCAAGCTCACGTTCTTGGGGCTGGTTCACCCACACACACCGCCAAACAAGGTTGGCTCTATTGTGCTGCCAATGCAAGATGTAGGGCTTGCTTTTCCAAGTGCTGTAGCTGGTGAGGGACAGGAAAAGCTCTCCCACTCTTGGAACCTCAGGGCCAGCTCTCCCAACCACCACAGGCCATGAAGAATGGCAGGGGTCAGGGTAGAGGCAAAAATATTTTTTAAAAAATAAATCTCTTTGTCATTACATTATTTGGCATTTCTAGATAATTCCCATAGAAGCAGTACTTCAAGATGAAGTGCCAAATAGACAACTAATGGGGACATGAAGATGCATGCAACTTAAATAACAAATATATATCCATAGCACATCAAGCTATGTTGTGAAACATGCAATTGGTTGCTGATTATCCTACATTAGTACATCTCTATCAGACAGATGGAAATGCTGCTTTGGATACATGTATAAAGTATTTAATGTTTCTTATATTCTCTTCCATTAAGCATTTTAACAGTAACATTGTTGACAAAATGGCAAACATTGGGGGTACATCATCTACACCTGGACTTGTACTCAGGAGGCTGACACACAATGATCATGAGTTCAAATGCAACCCTAATTACTGACATCTAAGTCAGGCTGGATAACAAACAACATTTCAAAGAAAATTGTGAAAACATGAAAAATAAAACCAGGAACAACAACAACCCACCACCCTTTTTCACAGACACCCTCTCTTGAAAAGTAAGATCACACACTGCCTGATTGTGATTTAATTAAACAATGAACCACTTAGATAATGGGCATCCCATTCTATAAATTACTGAAGAGAAACTGAAGACAACTGTGATGTATAACTCTTTACCAAATCATTTACATGAACAGGGTTTTTCTCTTGAATGAGTTCATTCTTATTTCCTGATATCAAGATGATATAAAGAGTCCCCAAAGTATTCACAGGGCTAGAGAAATGGCCAAACAGTTATGACAAGTTCAATCCTAGGCCCAAGGTCAGGTTTTTGACACTTCCTGTAACTCCTGCTACAAAAAAAAGCCAACGGTCTAAACCTTCTTGGGAACCAGCATGCACGTGCATATACCCACACAGAGACACACTGACATCACATAATTAAAACTGAATCAAATCTTTAAACAAATTTTCACTTTTCTCTTGTAAGCATTAATTCCTGTAACACAGGTGTTAAGGCATTTAACAGCTTACTTACAGAACTTTTCTTCATCATGAATTGGTTCATATAACAGAAAGCAAACACATAAGATTGAAGTCAGAGAAACCAATCATTGAGTTGGTGGTATCATTTGGGAAGATTTAGGAAATGCTGCCCTCCTGGAAGCAATATCCCTAGGGGGTGCATCTGAAAGTTTACATCCACACACCATTTTCAGTTCCAACTCTGTGCTTCATGCTTCAACTTAAGGATATAAGTTCTTAGGTTTCTGCTTTAGCTCTCATATCTATCTGACAATTGTTGCCATGACACTCTCATGGTGATTCTGTATCCCTCAGGAATCAAGTACCAACTCTTTCATAAGTTGACCTAGATACCATGCTTTATCACAGCAATAGAAAAGGCACTATTACACATCCGTAAGTTTTACACAAGGATGAGTTATTTCATGTAATTGAAGTGTGAAATTTAAAAGGGATAACTTATTGTTTAAATTCACAGGACTTTTGTCCACATGCATTTGCAGGTGCAAACAAAATACATATCATAATCCTTGAACAGATTGTTGACATTTATCAGATTTTTTTTCCTCCACAACAAATAATCTTTAAGTGTGCTGGCCAAAGATCTTACCAAATCCATTGTAGTCAGACTCCCTTAGGTATGAGCTCTTTCAGGTTCTCAAAAATCACTGTGATATGCAAAGGCTTTAACAGACCAACTACACACAACAAGTTTTACTCTTGTATAGACAACCATGAAGTGCAAAACTTTGCCATACTCACTATATTTATAGGGTTTTTCTGTGATATGATTTTTTCTCATGATTTTGAAGGCTGTTGATACATGCAAAGGCTTTATTACCTTTATTACATTTGTAGGGTTTCTCCCTATTATGTGTTCTTTTATGTCTTTGGAGACTGCTGAGATGTGCAAAGGCTTTACCACATTGATTGCATTCATAAGGTTTCTCTCCAGTATGTCTTCTTTTATATATTCTTAGACTACTTTGACATGTAAAGGCATTAGCACATTCATTATATTCCTAAGGTTTCTCTCCAGTATGTGTTCTTTTATGTACATGAAGATAACTGCGACGTGCAAAGGCTTTGCCACAGTGATCACATTTGTAGGGTTTCTCTCCAGTATGTGTTGTTTTATGCCTTTGAAGATGACTGTGACGTCCAAAGGCTTTCCCACATTGAATACATTCATAAGGTTTCTCTCCAGTATGTGTTCTTTTATGCATTTGAAGATGAGTGTTACATGAAAAGGCTTTACCACATTGATTACATATGTAAGGTTTCTCTCCAGTATGTGATCTTTTATGTATTTGGAGATGACCGTGCCGGGAAAAGGCTTTACCACATTGATGACACTCATGGGGCTTTTCTCCAGTATGCGTTCTTCTATGTATTCGGAGATTACTATGATGTGCAAAGCCTTTACCACATTGATTACATTCATAAGGCTTCTCTCCAGTATGTGTTCTTTTATGTATTGCAAGACTGCTCTCACATGCAAAGGCTTTACCACACTGATTACATTCATAAGGTTTCTCTCCAGTGTGTGTTCTTTTATGTATTTGAAGATGACTGTAACATGCAAAGGCTTTACCACATTGATTACATATGTAAGGTTTCTCTCCAGTATGTATTGTTTCATGCCTTTGAAGATGACCGTGACGTCTAAAGGCTTTACCACAGTGATTACATTTGTAAGGTTTCTCTCCAGTATGTATTCTTTTATGTTTTTGGAGATAACTGTGTTGTGCAAAGGCTTTGCCACACTGATTACATTCATGGGGTTTCTCTCCAGTATGTTTTCCTTTCTGTTTTTGGAGACTACTATGATGTGCAAAGGTTGCATCATATTCAATACCTCCATAGGGTTTCTCTACAGTATCAATTCTTGCAAGCCTTTGAAGATGACTATGACATGCAAAGGCTGTACAACATTGCGTGTATTCAGAGGGTTTCTCTCCAGTACAACTTCTTTCATACCTGTAAAGATAATTGGCAAATGGAAAAGTTTTAACACATTCATTACACTGATGAATCTTTGTATCTATGTAAATTAATTTTACAATTTGGTCTAATTGTAAAGAGGAATCAGATATTAAGGTTTACATTCATGTTGTTCCCCTTTATTAAGGATTGTTTTGTGTTTTTGAAGAGACCTGTGATAGTAAGAGCCTTTTTTTAAAATATGGCCCACAAATATAGCATCTTTTTTTCCATATTTGAAGAGAACTGGAAGGACTCAGAGCTTTACATACTTAACAATAAGTTTTTCTATAGTGTGAGTCATATCACATTTACACAGTGAACTATGACAGATGTATTTATACATTCCAATATTCATAGGGATTTTCTGCAGTGTGATGTTGTTGAAGTATTCCCAATAGAGTTGGAAAACCAATTAATTATAAACTTGTAAACTGTATCACATTCAACAAATCTACTCAAAGCAGGAACTACTATCTTCTAATTGGTCTGGGAGAAAAAGAGGTATGCTGTTTCTTTCCATATCCTTATGTGTGCATGGCTTGTATCTAGAGTGATAGATATCTACTGAAAGAAGAGTAACAAAGAAAAGGTTTCCACACTGCATTCACACATTTTGACTTTCTGTTCCTCATAGACATGTGGTATAGGTATTAAGGTTTCTCCACAGCAACCTTCTTGACTCTCATAAACTTCCCCTCTCAATAATCTTAGAAAAGTCACAAGAATATGGGTAACAATGAGTCTTTCTGTGGATGATTGCTTATTAGAATGTTTTGGACATATTTATGACCTATTCAACATCTATACCTTTTGCAATATCTAAGTGGTATGAAACTAAATGGATTGGCAGTTCTACAATGTAGCTCTGACGATACTGATTCAAATGATGATATCAGTTAAGGCATTGTTTCCTTGTCTTCTTTCTTAGAGGAATGCCTTGCAAACACATATCAGCTACCTGACATGAGGATATGGTTTTGTGAGAATTTAATAATCATAAATATATGTTATACTGTGATTATTTATACTGTTTATTTTCTTTAAAACTTCCAGGACATATAAATATTTCTTCAGAGGCACATTTTTTATCAGCTGTAAATGAAAATTACCTTCTATGTCTTCCAGAACTTTGACACCCTTCTCCAATATTATGGTCTTCCCAACTGCAGCCTAAAATATAGGGGCAGAAAAATGTATGATGTATTACTGGAAATTTTACAATATTCAATGAACCTCAAACCCATACCTGATTTATTCACCTCATTCTTCCTCTTTCTCAATTGAAATTACAGAAAAGTATCAATAACCAAGAAACAGTTTTTCTCCTACTTTAAAATATGAAGGGAGATTCAGTATTACCTACAGCAGTGAGGTTCCTGCAGGTCTCCAGCATCACATCTTTGTAGAGATTCTTCTGGGACAGATCCAGCAAAGCCCACTCTTCCCAAGTGAAGTGAATATGCACATCATCATAGGTCACTGCACTCTAAAATGTCCCACACATGTGTGCAAAAGAAAGCATAATACTGAAAGATTGTAAACATATACTTCTTTGATAATATATTCATATAGTTGTGTTGCTCCCCACACTTATTCTATGACACTGAAGTTGTAATGTAATCCCCAACTCCCTTGAGAAGAAAAATGAATAAGAGGTTCACTTCTGTCCTTTCAGCACCCTTTGAATAGGATATAGCCTTGAAAGAGAAATGCATATTAACAGACATAAAGAGAGGCAAGCAAACCAATCAAAAGAACTGAGAATACATAATAGTGATTGAATGGAGGATTACAATGTATAAATAGATTGGCAAGCTGGGTGTCTTCACTCATTCCTTTAATCCCAGGACTCAGGAAGTGGAGGTAGATGAATTCAACTGAGTTGGATTTCAGGATACCAGAATTACATATTATTAAGACCTGTCTCCACCACAAAAATCAAACAAACAAAAAAGTAGAACTGAGAGGTTTTGACAAAAGTTCTTACAAAGAGGAATGAACTCACTCCAGTTCTGTATTCATCACCCAGAAACCTGAAGTGCCACAGTTTAAACTGTTACATTAATAAGCTCTTACTGAACGTGAATGCAGTTACAGATGAAAATATCAGCAATGTAAATATTCGGTAATACAAAACGTAGGGAAGAATGGATGACTCAGCAGTTAAGATCCCCTGCTAGCCTTGCAGACAGGTGGTTCAACGGCAGTGATTACATGGGGCTCACAACTATCCATTACTCCAAGTACAGGGGTGCTGAGGCTGCCTTCTGACTACTATGAAGACCAAGCACACATGTGGTGGAGATCTATATGTACCGGCAAAATATTCATATTTGTTCACAGGAATTCAAAATAACAATGGTAGGTAAGAATGTCACACATCTGCAATTCAATGACTCACCGGCTCAGGCAGTATTAATTTCATGAATATTGACAACCTGGAAAGAGAATGAGACCCTCTGCCACATTTGCTTCAAAATTCAAGCTGTGGGTGAAACTCACACATGCTTGGCATACATACAAAAACATTCCAGGGAGTGGAATGTGGTGGTTTGAAAGAAAATGGCCCCCAAAGGGAGTGGCACTATAAGGAGGTGTGGCTTTGTTGGAGGAAGTATGTCACTGTGGAAGCATGTCACACTGTGGGCTTTGAGGTCTCATATATGCTCAAGCCACACCCAGTGGCTCGGTTTACTTCCTACTGCCTGCAAGAGGAAGGACTATCAGCTACTTTTCCAGCACCACATCTGATGATAATGAACTGAACCTCTGAACTGTAAGGGAGCACGCCAATTAAATGTTTTTCTTTAGAAGAGTTGCTGTGGTTATGGTGTCTCTTCACAGCAACAGAAAACCTAAGACATCTTAGAAAGAGGAAATGGAATAGATTTTGTGGGTGGATTGGCTTTGGGAAAATAAAGGATCAGGTGAGTAAGGAAAGAACAGAGTGAAAGAATACAAGGAAGGATGACTGGAATAGGGGAGCTTTTAGGGGGTTATGTAAAAACCTAGTGCAGTGGAAACTTCCTGGAATTTATGAGGATGACCCTAGTAAAGTCTCCAAGTAATCAAGACTATGGAATCATGCAAGGCTCTTAGTGGTGGGACTGGAACACCAACCCAGCCACAAAATATTCAACCCACATGTCCTGTTTGTAAGATATGCTGAGGCAATTGTGGCTCAGAGCTCATGTAGTGACCAACCAATTAGTGGTCTAACTTGTGGCCCAAGCCAAAAAGGAAGCCCAGGCCCAACACTGCCAGATGTTAGATGGCTCAGAGAACTAGGGTAGAATCAAGTACAACTGACCAAAAAGAAAGCCAATGAAATGATTTCTAACTATACTGTACTATAATCAAAGATTTGTGCCTAGTCCAATTGTTGTCAGAAGGGCTTCCACCAGCAGCTGATAGGAGCAGATGCAGGGAACCTAATCAAACACAAGCACGAGCTCTGGGAACCCTGTGGAAGATGGGTGGTGGAGGGATTGGAGGATCCAGAGGGATAGAGGACACTAGGAGAACACAGACCACAGAATCAACTAAGCAAGGATTATAAGGGCTCACAGAGATGGAAGTGGCAATCATCAATCCTGCATGTGTCTTTACCAGGTCCTCTACATACATGCTGTGGTTTGTTAGCTTGGGTTGTTTGTGGAACTCCTAACAGTAAGAGCTGGGGGTGTCTCTGACTCTTTTTGCCTATTTGGACCCTTTTCCTTCTACTGGGTCACCTAATCCAGCAAGTACACGAGGATTTGTGCCTAGTCTTACTGCATCTTGTTATGATGTATTCAGTTGGTATACCATGTGGAGCAATGGATCTGGGAGAGTGGGAAGGATGGGGGACTGGGAGGAGTGGAGGGAACAGAGGCTGTAGTTAGGATGCATCATATGAGAGAAGAAAACAGAAAAAGAAAACAAACAAGCATTGAGTCTAACTTCAATGATCCTCCTAATCTGTAACAGCCCCAACGCTATTCAAATGTCAAAGTCTCTTCTGTACTAAATACAGTCTCTTGACTGTGACATCATGTAAAACAAAACCAAACAAACAAAATTAAACCTTTTCAACATCCAGTGGCACAGGATTCCCATTCAGGAAGAGAGGAATGAGGCCATGTTCTAGGCCCCAACTCTGGCAAACATCCCATGTTCATGTGCATGCCACACCAGCCAGGAGAACGGGTAGGCAGGCCACAAGTACATGGAATTTCCCCATTCCTTAAACTACATACGCAATCCCCCACTAACCCTCCAGTTACCACCACTGTAGCCATGTCCCCATCCCCCAAACTTGGTAGACATCCTCTGCTCAAGTGCAGGCTACACCAGCCAGAAGAACAGGTAGGTTCTTCTCCCTGATAGACCAGAGGTCAAGTCAGCCATCAGAAATCCAGATTAATGCCCACCCATCAACCTCTTCCACTCTTTCAGTAACCCCAACACTATCCCTCATCCCACTTCCCTTCTTGTCACTGTATCCTAGCCCCCAACTTGGGCAAAGATGCCCTGCTCAAACAAAAGACACACCAACTGTCAGAAGTCCATGTAGGCCACCTGCCCACAGACCTATCCCTTTCTTGCAGTGCCTGCCCAACACTATTGCAAATCGCCCTCCCCTCTTAGCCTTTTCTCAGCCCCCAACTTGGGCAGAAACTCCCTGTTGGCACAGTGGCTATACCTGCCACCAGATTTCTAGCCCTCAACATGGGTAGAAGTGAACATCTGTTCAACCACAGGCCACACAGACCAGAAGAACAGAAACCAAAGTAGAAACCAAAGAACAAAACACCCACCCAACAAAGACAAACTAAGAAACAGGCACCAAGACCCTTAATCAGCCAAAACCCAGATACACAGACACCAGCTTAAGAACACAATCAACAACAGCAAGGGCAATATGTCACCATCGTAGTCCAGGTATCCTACTACAGCAAGCTCCGAATATCCCAACATAGCTAAAGCACGAGTAAAAGACATTAAAGCAAACTTTTATAAAGATGATAGAGGGCCTTGGAAAGAAAGTAAATAAATCCCTTTAAGAAGGCAAGGAAAAGATAACAAAATAATGGAGAAAATGAATAAATCCCCTAAAGAAAGCCAAGAAAAACAATTGAAAGAAATGAACAAAACTGTTCTAGACCTGAAAGTGGAAATAGAGGCAAGAAAAAGACACAAACTGAAGGAATTCTGGAAATGTAAGATCTAGGTAAGTGAATAGGAACTACATAGGCAGACTTCAACAAAAGGATAAAAGAAATGGAAGACAGACTCTCAGGTGTTGACAATATGATGGAAGAAATGGATATATTGGTAAAAGAAAATTGTTAAATCTAAAAAATTCCTAGAACACTATAAAAGACCCAACCAAGGAATAATAGAAATAGAAGAGAAATCCATTTTCTTAGGCCCACAAAATATTTACTTCCAAAAGAATCATATTCCAAATTTTTCCTAACCTAAAGAAGGACACCAAGAGAACACAGCCCACACAATCAACTAAGCAGGGCTCATAGGAACTCACAGAGACTTAAGCGACAATCATGGAACCTGCATGGGTCTGTGCCAGGTCCTCTGCATATATGTTACATTCTTGTTGCTTGGTGTTCACATAAGACACCTAACAGTGGGGGAGGGGTGTCTCTGACTCTTTTGCCTACTTTTGGGACCTTTTTTCTCCTACCAGATTACCTTATCCAGCCTTGATAATGAGGGCTTGTGCCTAGTCTTGTTGCAACTTGTTGTGCCACATTTGGTTGATATCCCTGGGAGATTTGCTCTTTTATGAAGGGAAACAGAGGAGAGAGAATCTGGGGAAAAGAGGAGCAGTGGAGAGGACTGGGAGGGGTAGAGGAAGGGGAAACTGTAGTCTGTTTTATTGTATGAGAGAAGAATTAATTTTTAAAAAAAGAAAGACAGGAATGGGCTAGGGGACACCTGAGGCCGGGAGACTGCTCATGGGATTTGAATTCGGCATCCAGCACACCCAGAGACTGACATCAAAGTATTGGATCTGTTTGCATCTACCAGAAGGGTACCAACCAGGAGAGGGAGAGACTCCTGCTACACCCTCCAGAAGAAAGGATGGAAAGAAGACAATATAAAAGTTCATTCAACAACAGAAAAACCAATATGACACCACTGGAGGCTAGGGAACATACACCAGCAAGACTTGAAAATCACAATGCAGATGAAGCAGAAGAGAATGACCATCTTCATAAAAACATCTTCATAAAAATGATAGAGGACCTCAAAGAGGATATGAGAAAATCCGTTAAAGAAATGGAAGAAAAAACAAACCAAGAAAATACAAGATATCAAAAAATCTTTCAAGGAAACAGTTCAAAACCTAAAACCTGAAATAGAGGCAATAGAGAAAACACAATCTGAGGAAATTCTGGAAATAGAAAA